ATGGCACGATACTCGGATTCACAACTAGAGCGAGAAACTGCTGGTTACTTATTGGCACTCCAAGATACAAGATTTTCTCCAAGGAAAATTGAGTAACTGTACATAGATCGACGAGTGTCAGTGAACCTTGCCCAATTGGCATCTAAGCAACCAATTAGGGAGAGATCAGGCTGTGAAGTGAAAGAGAGACCAAAGGATAACATCCCCTAAAAATAGCGCAAAATTCTTTTTACAACCAAGAAATAAGCCTCTGTTGGCAATTGCAAAAGCTGACTTACAAGATTTAGAACATATGACAAGTCCGGTCTAGTGATGGTTAAATACTGAAGAGCACCTACAAGCGAGCGATAGAGAGTGGGGTCGGAACATGGATTGTCATCCTTTGTAAGTGTCTCACCGACCACTAGCGGAGTAGATACTGGCTTAGAATCGAGAAGTTTTGCACGCTGTAGAATATCATGCACATGTTTTGCTTGGCTAACAAAGAGGCCAAGAGATGAATTCGATACCTCCAGACCCAAAAAAATAAGTTAGTTGACCAAGGTCTTTAATAGCAAACTTAGTGCCAATACGGTTGATCAAATGAGTAAGCGACTCACCGTGGTTTTCATTTTTTATTATGTCATCAACATCTAAAAGGAGAAAGATATTATTCTCTACTTGGTGCACAAAGAATAAGGAAGGATCCAAACGACTCTGAGCAAAGCCGAGAGAGAAGAGGAAATAGCAAAATCGCTAAAACCAAACCAATGGAGCTTGGCATAAGCCATGTAAAGCCTTTTTTAATCGACATACATGATTCATAAATCATAGATCGATGCAACCAGGTGGTTGGGCCATGTAGACATGTTTAGTAAGAAAACCATTGAGAAACACATTTTTAACAAGTTGAATCAAGGCCATTTGTAATGAACGAATAAGGCGAGAATTATGCAGACAGTAGAAGCCTTGACAACTGGGCCAAAAGTATGATGGAAATCAACACCAGGAATTTGTGTAAAGCCTTAAGCAACAGTTCGGGCCTTATGTCGCTCAATAGAACCATTAGAGCGGTATTTTGTGCAATAAACCCATTTTGACACAACAATATTGGCATTTTCGGGTAGAGATACCAAATCCCATATGTAATTAGAGTGCAATGCATCCATTTCTTTCTGCATAGCGGCTGACCATTGTGGTGATTTTTGCGCAGATTCGAAACCACTGAATTTTTATCTAGAGTGGATAGCAAGGCTGTAGAGGCATAATTTACTAGGTATAGAGGCATAAACCACTGACCATATGATGTTTTTACTGCGATGCAACTGGTAGAGCAGGGGACATGCTACATGAGTATCTATAATATATGGTAGGTCATTAATAGGTGGAGCAAGTTGTGGCAACTCAATAGTAGGAGTAGTAGGAGTCTCAAACAAACAAGGCCGGAATATCCAAGAATTCCCATGCTGTAGAGGTAAACTTATTGGAAAACAGAAAAAATGTTTTATCAAATTGTGTATGTCGAGCCTGAAATATTTTTCCAAAATTAGGATCATAATACCGGAAACTCTTATATGGAGGTGTAGCCCAAAAATATGCATAGTCGACTACAGGGGGCCAATTTGTGTGGTGAAGAATCCCGTAGATAAGGATAGACTATGCAACCGAAGAGTTTGAAGTTCACAAAATTCATAGAAAATGTAAAAATAAACTTAGAAGGAGACTTTTCAGCCAAGACAGATGAGGGAATACGATTGACGATAAATGCAGCAGTGGCAAAAGCATTGAACCAAAAATTTGCGGGCATATAGCATGAAACATCATTGATAAACCTGTCTCGGTGACATGGTGATGTTTTCTCTCAGCTCGGCAATTTTGTGGTGGTGTGTGTGAACAAGACAAACGATGATGTATCCCATGCACGTGCATGAACTCTCGAACACGGCTATTAACGAATTTAGTGCCACCATCACTTTGAAACATTTTAATAATAGTGGAGAACTGATTGCACACATAGTGATGAAATCTCACAATCACATCATAGAAATCAAATTTAGCATTCAAGGGATAGAGCCAAGTGAAACGTGGTAAATTATTTATAAATGGCACATAATAACGAAAACCATCACGAGATATAACAGTCGCGAGACCCCATAAATCATAATAAATAAAATCCAATACAACATAAGCCCGTTTCTCATTTAAGTGGAAAGAAAGTCTCTTGCTCTTGGCTAATTGACAGGAGGAGAAAAGTTTTAGGCTCGGAAATATTGAAGTAACAGATAAGTGTCTAATCTTATTTAGCAATGTAATGGTACAAGATTGGACATGCCCCAGGAGTAAATGCCATAAATCATAACTTGCTCTTATTCTACATTTTTAATAGAAATAAGAAATGCTGCAGAACCTATCTTCAAGATATAAAGCCCATGTTCACAACTTCCCTACGGAAGAGTCGCCTTTGTGAGGTGGTGCTGAATGGAAAAAGAATCATTAGTAAAAACAGCCTCAACCGGATAATAAGTTGTCAATTCGCTTATAGATAAAATATTCGTTGTTATTTGAGGCACAACAGGAACATTATGTTGAGAGTTAATTAATTTGCAATTTCCAGAGAAGAAGATTGAAAAGCCATTTTGAGAGATTAAAAGACTACAAGAATAATTAATTGATGAATTAATTTACATTGGAACATGTTATGTGTTATTCAACATTGATTATGTGAACTCTTATATATTGTAACCGAATAAAGAAGTGAGATTAAGATAAGTTTTCTTGCAAAGTAATAAAACGTGCAACAACACATTTCTTCACCATTTACATTTATCTTCAAAATCACCAAAAAATTTTGGTATCAGAGTACATAAGATTTCCTCAACACATACTCCCACCATGTTGTCGTTCACTTCCAATCAAGTTCCTATATTCGAAGGCAAACATTTTGATTATTGGAGCAGTCAAATGGAGACGTTGTTTCTATCCCAAGACTTATGGGATGTTATGGAAGAAGAATATCCGATACTACCTGAAAACAATGAAGGGTAGACTGATCCTCAACAAGCAGAGTATAAGAAGAACATAAAGAGGGATGCTTGTGCACTCAGATTCGTCTAGCAAGGTCTGAGTAAAACCATATACCCAAGAATCCATGGAGTAAAAGGGGCGAAGCAAGCATGGGAAATCTTGAAAGAAGGTTTCCAAGGGAACAACAAAGTCACCTCAATAAAGTTGCAATCTCTTTGGAGAGATTTCGATAATCTTACGAAGAAAGAAAGTGAAGGTATGCAGGCTTATCTCACTCGAGTTGTAGAGATTGTAAACCAAATTAGAAGCCTCGGTGACACAATCTATGAGAGGAAAGTAGTGCAAAAGGTGTTGCGTAGTCTACCATCCAAATACGACTATGTCGTGGCGGCTATTGAGGAATCAAAGGACTTGTCAACATTCACATTCAATTAGTTGTCAACTGATACGAGATTTAAAGTCAATTGAGGAATGCAGTAAGTATCAGGAAGGGATATAAATGGTAGAGATACAGATCATGAATGAGTATATCTATGTGACTCCCATTAGCAGTATGTATAGGCAATGAAGGAGACATAAGATGCGTATCGGTCAAGAGGCCAAGTGTATGTGTCATATGATGGCAACAACCAGAATCAAAATACCACGAACTGTTTATACCAAAAGGGGAATTGAAAGCAAGAACTTGATGCAAGAGAGTCACGAGACTCTGGACTAAGGAAGCCATGCCAGTAACAGCACGAAAATAAAATCAACACCGATGACAAAACTAATCACAAACCTGTATAAATCACGAAATCAAGATTCGAATCAATAAATCAAATCGAATGATCCAACCGACAATAGTTTTAAAAAAAATCAACTCCGATGATAAAGCCAACCACACCACGGCGTAGGGAATCAAAACATGAGGTGGCGGCCGAAAAACAACGACTGGAGGTGGCCGGATACGCTCACACGTGCGACCGAAAGATCGGTAGCGGAAAAGCTTTACCTCAAAATTCACGTCGCCGGCGCGTGAGAGAAACACGCGCGGCTGTTGGCGGCGATATTTGTGTGGTAAGCAGGCAATGATGAGACGGTCCTAACGGTAGCGACGGTGTTGACCGGAGAGCGGCGGATGGCGGCGGACAACGGTGACGGCGGCTAGGGTTTCGTATTTTTAATATTTGGCTCAGATACCATGTTGAAATTTGGGGAAAAATTATGAAAGTGTATTTCAAAATAAGGAAATACAAGAGTATATATACTAGTGGATTTACGCCAAAACTAAGATAGATAATATCAAAATAATATCAAAAGATATCTATATCTAATAAGAGGATATCTAAATCTAACACTCTTGTTCGTTGATGATTATAGCAGAATGATGTGGGTTTATCTTTTGAGAGAAAAATTGGAAGTTTTCTCGGCATTTCACAAATTCAAGGCTTTGGTGGAAAATCAAAGTGATTGGAAAATGAAATCTCTTCGGACTGATCGTGGGGGAGAGTTTATCTACACTCCTTTTATGAAGTATTGTGAAGAACATTGAATTCAAAGGCAACTCACCATTCGAATGAGCCCTCAACAAAATGGTGTTATGGAAAGAGAAGCATGATGATCGGGAAGTCCTTGCCAAAAACCTTCTGTGCTGAAGCAGTTCACACAACCATCTATATTTTAAACTAATGTCCTCAAAGATTGAACTTCATTTGAAGAGTGGCATGAAAGGAAACCGATGGTTTATCCTTTCAAGATTTTTGGCAGCATCACATACTCTCACGTTGACCGAAAGAACCAAGATAAGCTTGCAAGAAGGGTGAGAAACTTATTTTTATTGGATAAAGTGATGAGTCGAAAGGATATCGTCTCTATAATCTAATAACGAGCAAGCTTGTTGTGGCAAGTGATGTTATTTTTTGATGAAATGGTTGCATGGAATTGGGATGAAAATGCAACACAAAATTCAGCATCCAATGAATTCTTTAAGCAATCTCAACTTGATGATGAACCTGCTAAAGTCTCACAACCTCAAAGTCCAATACCCACTTAATCAACTCAGAAGCGGTACTGGCCATGGCACCATACTCGGATTCACAACTAGAGTGAGAAACTACTGATTGCTTCTTGGCACTCCAAGTACAAGATTTCCTACAAGAAAAATTGAGTAACCGTACATAGATCGACGAGTATCAAGGAACCTTGCCCAATCGGCATCTAAGTAACTAATTAGGGAGAGATCAGGCTGTGAAGTGAAAGAGAGACTAGAGGATAACATCCCCTTAAAATAGCGCAAAATTCTTTTTACAGCCAAGAAATGAGCCTCTATTGGCAATTGCAAAAGCTGACTTACAAGATTTACAACATATGACAATTCCGGTCTAGTGATGGTTAAATACTGAAGAGCACCTACAAGCAAGCGATAAAGAGTGGTGTCGGAACATGGATTTCCATCCTTGGTAAGTGTCTCACCAGCCACTAGCAGAGTAGATACTGGCTTAGAATCAAGAAGTTGTCCGCGTTGTAGAATATCATGCACATGTTTTGCTTTTTAACAAAGAGACCACGAGATGAATGTGAACCTCTAGACCCAAAAAATAAGTTAGTTGACCAAGGTCTTCAATAGCAAACTTAGTGCCAATACGGTTGATCAAATGAGTAAGCGACTCAGCGTGGCTGTCAGTAATTATTATGTCATCAACATATAAAAGAAGAAAGATATTATTCTCTCCTTGGTTCATGAAGAATAAGGAAGGATCCAAACGACTCTGAGTAAAGCTGAGAGAGAAGATGAAAGAGCCAAATCACTGAAACCAAACCAATGGAGCTTGGCATAAGCCATGTACAACCTTTTTTAATCGACATACATGATTCGGAAATCGTGGATCGAAGAAACCAGGTGGTTGGTCCATGTAGACATGTTTAGTAAGAACACCATTGAGAAACACATTTTTAACATCAAGTTGAATCAAAGGCCATTTTTAATGAACGGATAAGGCGAAAATTATGCAGACAATGGAAGCCTTGACAACTAAGCTAAAGGTATGATGGAAATCAACACCAGTGGATCATCCAAAGCATAAGGACTTGATCTGATTGAAAGTCTATAAGACCAAGTTTTGAGAAGATAGAAGCATTGAAAAGCACAAGGCAAGACTTGTTCCTAAGGGCTACTCTCAACGGCCTAGGATTGATTTCACCGAGATTTTTGCACCGGTGGTTAGAATGGAGACTACTCATACCGTTCTTGCTCTTGATGCTCAACTTGAATTTCAAGTCTACCAATTGGATGTAAAATCAACATTTTTTAATGGAGAACTCGAAGAAGAAGTTTACGCACAACAACCTCAAGGCTTTGAAGTTAAAGGCAAGGATGATAAAATGTATCATCTTTGGAAAGGACTTTATGGATTAAAACAAGCTCCACGAGCTTGGAATAACAAAATTCATGGCTACTTTTGCAAGAATGATTTTGATCAAAGCACAAATGATTACTCTCTCTATGTGAAGAAAGAAAGAGCAAATTTCTTGGTCGTGTGCATTTATGTAGATTATCTTATCTACATGGGAACTCAAGAGAAAATGGTTAAAGCTTTCAAGAAGAAAATGATAGAGGATTTTGAAATGACGGATTTAGGTATGATTAGTTACTTCTTGGGAATTAAAGTCAAGCAATCAAAATATGAAGTCTTTATCTCCCAAGAAAAATACATTGAAGATCTTCTCAAAAAGTTTCATATGGAAGCTTGCAAATCAGTTTCTACTCCAATGGCGGCGAATGAAAATTTGAGGCAGGATAATGGAGTAGAGATGGTGGATAGTTCGTTGTTTAGAAGTCTTGTCGGTTCTTTGATTTATCTTACCAACACAAAACCATATATTGTGCACGTTGTGAGCTTAATCTCTAGATTCATGAGTGATCCAAGCAAAGCTCATGTCAAAGCTGCGAAGAGGATACTGCGATACCTTCAAGGAAACAAGAAAGAAGGTGTCAAGTATGTCAAGGAAGGAGATTCGAATTTGGTTGGATTTACCGATAGCGATTGGGTTGGTTCATTGGATGATAGAAAGAGCACGTCGGGATACTTACTTTGTTTTGGTTCAAATGTCATCTCTTGGAGTTCAAAGAAGTAGAAATCTGTTGCAGTATTGACGTCCGAAGCCGAATACATTGCAGCTACGAAAGCTATTTGTTTGGTTAAGGAGAGTGCTTAATGATCTCCAACAAATTTAGGAGGAGCCAACCATAGTTTATTGTGATAACATGTCTACAATAACTATGAAAAAAGAATCCCGTATTCCATTCTCAAACAAAGCATATTGAGCTGCGTCATCATTTTATTATAGATATGTGAACAAGCAAGAAATCAGTTTGGAGTTTATTGGAACAAATGAGCAAGCTACATATTTCCTCACAAAGGCGGTTCAAAAAGGCAATGGAGTTCTTGCAAATTGAAAATTAAGGAGTGTTGAGAGTTAATTAATTTGCAATTTCCAGAGAAGAAGTTTGAAAAGACATTTTGAGAGATTAAAAGACTACAATAATAATTCATTGATGAATTCATTTTACATTGGAACATGTTATGAGTTATTCAGCATTGATTATGCAAACTCTTATATATTGTAACTGAATAAAGAAGTAAGATTAAGATCAGTTTTCTTGCAGAGTAATAAAACGTGCAACAACACATTTCTTCATCATTTACATTTATCTTCAAAATCACCAACACATTAGTGAGTTTCAGTTTCGAAGATATGCAATCTGTACCATTCCAAACAATAACAGAATGATTACCATTATAAGAGACAACCGAGTCTAGAAAGGATGGTTGGACAACAATGTGAGCAGAGGCGCCCGAGTCAAATGCAGAACCACGCAAATTGGGCTCAATTGCACGTGAAGCATGAAAAGCTTGTGTAAGGTCAACAAAATTACAAGAAACACATCATCATAAAAGCACACATGAGAGAGCATACACTAGAACAAACAAATTTTTCCCTGCCATTCTCCGGTCCCTACCCTTTGTGATCCTAAAGCCAAACAAACATAAATTTTAGGATTTCCAAACACGACAACCTAAAAAGGTCATACAATTAAGTGTGTTCATTTTATAATACAAGAAAGCTCAATGTCATTACATAGAACATTTATTACATTTACTTCCTTAAAAACATTAATAACATAAACTCTTGCCTACCCTTTCCTAAAACATTATCTATCAAGAAATGACTCACATCATTACTCTACTATTCTCCTCTTAAGTATGTCACAGTTTACTCTTCTCTAATCTTATCTAAAATATCTCTATGAAGTTCCACATATTCATTCTCGAAAAACTCACTAGGTTCTTCACGCATACATCACATTGCTACTCCTCCTTCCCATCCAATCAAATTAATTCTTACACGTCAAACATTTATCTTGTCTGTGCAATGTGATGGGCAAAATCTATTTAATTCTAAATAAATTATTTTCCAAATAAATTTTACAAGTAAATTATATCTTCATCAAAATTTCATTTCATAGACAAATAAACTTATGGTTCTACGCATCTCAACTTCAAATGACATTAACTCCTACCAAAATGCCCCACTCGTTCCCCGACTCGGTCAATAACACTTTCGGTTCTTTTGGCCAAATGGAGTTTTTTGCAGATTCTAATGGGCAAATCTATTTAAATCTAAATATATTATTTACCAAAAAAATGTTTACAAGTAAAATATATCTAAAAAGATATCATTTAAATAAACAAACAAACTTCTTTAATTATACACATGTCTATTTCAAATGACATCAATTATCAATACTTAGCAAAATTCCCAACTACGATCTCCGATTCAGTCAATAACATAATCAGTTCTTTTGGCCAAATGCATTGTTTTAAGTTGAGTCATCATCCTCCATAAAACCATAATCCGTTCCCTTTATCCTTGTATTAACGTATAATTAAATGTTTACAACACATGATATTAAAATAAAATAAAATAAAATAAAATAATCTGTAGAAAAACATGAAAAAAAAAAATGTGAAGCAGCATCACAATGTTGTGACAAATAAAAGCAAAAGAGAGGGGAAACTGAGCACCATTTAACACTAATGTCCGATGACCAAGCTTAAAATTACACAATATTAACGAAATCTATTTTTTTTTTATACGAAATAATTCTTAAGATCACCGTCGGATTTTTAATTAAAAACCTCAACACAATACACGAACAAGCCCTTGGCCTAACCTGCCTCTATACGGACTTGAACATTGTTCGATAGATTTGCCTATCGTTCCTAAAAACCCATTCCTCCGCTACAACTTTGCAAAAGTGTAATTAGGTCAAAAATCATGTACAACTATGACATTTACAAAGTTCCTTTCTGCAAATCTTTCTACTAATACACAGTGTTGTGCGGCGTAGGGCGCATGCATGAACACTAGTATATATATATATATATAACATATGCATATGTATTTCATCTATATATTTTCATATCAATATATTATATACTCCCTCCGTCCCACGTTGCAATGTCCGAATTATTGTAGACACGAAAATTTAGGATAAGGTTAATTAGTATATAATTAAGAATGTATTAGTGAAAAAAAATTATCATATCATATAAATAATTATAGATTAAGATTATGAATAACTAATTAGTTTAATTAAAATTTAAAATATTTTAAATTAGATGAAAATGAGATTAAAGTGTGTAATCATTTTCGAGAAAAATGATATTGACATGAGATGTGAGACAGAATAGAAATGGCAATGTGGACATTGTAGGTGGGACATAGGAAGTATATCTTATATAACATTAATATACGATTATTTCAAATATATATTACCTAAAATGAATAATATTGAAAATTCACATATGCTTAGTTTATTGGGAGTACTTTTATTACACTATCCCCGTTTGAACTTATTTAAGATAGAATTAAGGGAAATGTTAGATATAGTAAGTGGTTCCATGACATTTTCAGTTTTGATCTATTTGTAGATTCTTGTAATACATTTGATCTTATAGTCTTATTCAAATAAAGATAATCTCATGTTTAGTTCCAAACTAACATAATAAATGGACATTGCCCCTTTGATATATTGTCTCGTTTCTAATGCATAAGCTGACTCATCCAATATATTTACAAATTCAGTAATATTTAATCAAACACACGCAGATTCAGTTGAAAAATAAAATAAACTAAAATACCCGCCATTCTATTTAGATATACATAGGAAAAATTGCAAAAAATATCTCACACGTATAACCCATTATTATTTTTTATCTTGTATTTTATATTTTACCAGCGAGATAAATACAAGATAAAAAATAATAATGGGTTATACGTGACATATTTTTTGCAATTTTTCCTACAACCAGACTAATTAAGTTACTTATAATTAATACGGTCCGGTATGTTGTAAAAATTGAGCTTGAGGTACCATAACATTGTTTATTTTTATGAACTATATCCATTTAAACAAAGCATATACTATATTGTAATTGCATGAATTATATATTACACAAACAAATCATCAAGGTTAAAACAATAATAATAATAGTAATAACAAAAAACACAAAATACATTTGATCGTTTGGATCAAACATGAAATTATTTTCTTTGGGCGAGACCAAATGCATTAACAACATTACAAAATGACTGACAATATTATCCAACTATTCAGTGAAACCAATCTTTATCTTTTAGATTAGGGGGGAAAAAAAATCTAAATTATTTAAGTGTTCAAATACGCATTACTAATTAATATAAAGTCTATAAATCTTTTTAATTAAAAAGTTAAATTAAAAATAAGACTTCAATTTATTTTAAACTGATATAATTCACTTCCCAATATTTTAAGTTTTTAATTGATAATTAATGTACTGTTTCAACTTCTTCTTTTTTTCCCTTTATA